CAGGGACTGGATTCCGACTTGCCCTTAGATGTAAACAGGTGCCAAGGCTAATTTATGCCACATGTTCTGGTCTGGTGTCCCAGGCTGTAAAGATTTTTTGACAAAGTCTTTACAGCCTTCTCAATCTATTCTATATAATAAAAATATAGAGCCTGGCCCTACTTGACAGCCAATCTTGGTTGTCTGGCACCAGAGGAAGCCAGGACTTTAACAACTGCTCAAGGAAGAAAGCAATGGCATTTCTCGTTATGTTGCCAGGAGTGATTTTAATTTTAAACTGGATAAAAGACAACACCACCATTCTCATAACGATGGATAGAGGATGGTAAGACACATCTTAAATTGGAGCACCTTAGATTTACATTGCAGGCAACACTAGAAGTTTTATAAGGTCTGCAGCCTTTTATTCGCCCCATTCTTGAACGGGAGCTTTCATCTGCTTCAACATAACTGGCAGCACCCCCCCCACCCCCTCACCCCTCCTTTATTTATTTTTTTATTTTATTTTTTATTTTATTTTCTTCTGTCGGACATTGTTGTTTATTTATGCATTTTAACCTAAGAATGCCTGTCTTGTTATTGTTCCTTTAGTTTAGACCTGTATTTAGGTGAGTATGTGATGTGTATTTTGAGTCTTGTTATTTTGTGTTGTACTGGATGTGTGTTTGTATACAAAAATCAATAAAAACACTTTGATTATTATTATTATACCTCGCTCACAAATGAATGAAGACAAAAGCTCATACTGTTCAATGTCATAAAACAAAAAACAAATAAGATAAGAAAAAAAGAAAAAGCGATGATATGGGTTCACTAAACGGTTGCTGGCAATCATGTTGTAATTTAAAGACTCTTTGAAACTGGATCATTTGCATTTTTCCAATCACAGTGCATCTATGTTCTTCCCAGAGCAGAGTTATGATTTTGAAAACTTGATGTAATAATTTCCACCATCATGTTTGGCGTCTTATCTGAAAGACCTCCTTTCACTTCATAAGAGTCTTCAGATGGGGTTTTGCTTTACAGCCTGTGTGAAGAAGGAAGAGGAAATAATTGGTCAACGCTGTGGCTGAGGCAACACTCCAAACTAAATCTTCCATGGTGAATGTTACCCATTCCTGCAGGAACACAAACAGGAACAGCCTGGCTGGGCGAGAGGAAATTTCTGAGCCCTGCCTCGGGATGGGGAGGGCTCAGTCTGCTGGTCATGCCCAGAAGTCTCCGGCCTCACTGGCATCACAAGCCAAGAAAATGTTGAACAGGAAGAACAGGAAGATTGTGTTTCAGAAGCTGGTATTGCTACGACTCAGAAACAGTGGCTGACCAAGACTTACTGTTAGTGGAAAATGCAACAAATGACATCTTGTCATGTCTTCTCATGTTAAGTTTGAACACCTCACACCATACATGTAATGCTCTTCCATGAATAAAACTCAAAGGGGCACGCACTTTTGTCAGTTTTCTAATGTTATATAATACTCTTAAGTCTTCTATTTTTTCTTGATTTGTGTGATTTTTATGTACCTCTCCTGTCACAAATGTTTTTTATACTGTTTGTATTGGTGAAAAACAAAGACTTAATTAGGTTGTTGACTCAACAGAATGTGAATATGGACATCTTTAAACGTATTAACATAACATGTAAGCAAAGTGAACAATACCAAGTGGTTCAAAAATATAAAAACAAGAGGATGGTCAGGGTTGGATGGGGAGGGTGGGTGTAAAATGTTGCTCCAATTTCAAAATGGCCATGTAAAAGTGATGTGATTGTTACTCATCTGCTTCATCAATGAGCAACTGATGTTAAATTAACAACTGATGAAGATCAGTATAAATACTATAATGTATTTAAATTAATGAACACATTTATGATTTGCATTGTGGAGGGGAACAGCAGTCATTCTATACAAAGATACTAAAGTTTGAGCACATACAGTACACCCTCCATATAAACAGGAAAACACTGCCACCTAGAGGATTTTAAACAGAAGATCTAACCAAAACCACACAGTCACAGTACTGGCCACACAGACTGTTTAGATGCCTAAAACCTCAGAAAATTGTTTCAACTTCGGATCAGTTTTCTTGTGCGTTATTCGTTGTATTTACAGCTGAAACTGTCAGTCGCTGTAGAGCTTGGAATATCCTCCTGCCAGTTAAATAGATCAACAGGTGTCTCCAATGTTGCAACCCAAAGATAGTTAAGAGAAATTGAGCTCATTGGAAGAGGGAAGAGATTCTCTGTAGCTGAACTAACTTCCAAATTAGCATATATGTTTATTCATGAGGTCATTACGGTGGCAATGCTGGATTTTTTTTCAGAAATTGTGTTATTTGAAAAGAGCTACTCTGCTGCCCTCTAGTGGCTTTTCTATAGCAGCACCATGAAGGAAACCGGTTTTAAAAGGTCACAAGGGACAAGATCAAGCAGACTTCATTATTCATTGAGGCAATATTAAGCCAGTTAAATTAATACAGTTTTTATGAGGGCAGATGAATGTGAGAATATAAAGAAAATTGATCTCTTGAAAATTAGTGTAGCACTTGAGAACGCCTTCACCAGAGGATTCCTGTCTTTGGTTAAGTGTTCAATTACCTAATCTTTTTCTCTTAATAATCATCTTTCGAAGCAAAGGAACAATCAGCACTAAAAAACTATTTAAAAAAACGTTTCGGTACGATTGATGAGAAACTCTTTTGACACTCGAGACTGTGGTAAGTATACCCTGCTTAGGTCATGTTTTTTACTAACCATGTCCATACACTGCAAGTTATTTTTTTGCCCTAAATAAAAAATAAATCTTAAAAGTGACCAGAAAATATTATTCAAAAGTTATACGATTTTTTGTTTAAGGCCATTTATTTAGTCTTCGAGGTTGGGCAAGTTACTTCCAAAATGTAATATATTACATATTACTTATTACTCTCTTTTGAAAGTAATAAGTTACATTACAATATTACTGTCTCTGAAATGTAATGAGTTACACTACTTTAGTTACTTTTTAGTTACTTTCACCAAAATAAAAAAGAATGGCTAGGTATTTTAAATGCTAAAATGTAGTTATTGTACATCCAGTGAAGGGCAATGTGGTGTAGCATAACAACTGTAGGTCCTTAAGGCTACTAACAACTTTTATTACACGGCTTAGTTGAATACTCGATTCTGATTGTAAATTCTTAACATGTGACACGTTGTTAATACAGCAGTGCATGCCGCTGTCAAGGACTATAATGAAGATTTCTAAGGAGGATCAAGAAAGATAAAGGAAAAGAGGTTAAAAGACGGAGCGCTGGACGTCAGATAAATCACCAGAAGAAGGCAGAGAGGAAGTAAACAATAACAGGACACGGAATGGGCTCTGTAGTTTGTTTAGTATATGGCCGTGTACAGGCCCGGTTCCAGAACAAAATGACTCAGGGTGCATCTGAGATTACAGGGGGCGCAGCAGTAGTAGGTTTACATGAGCAATAGTGGCCGGCAACAGCAATGAAAAATAGCATTGATGGTCCCCAATGAACAGATTATGGCATTTGTTATGTTTTGAAACCAAGCAAGTGAGAACATTTCAAGTGAGTTAGAAGTGCAATCCTGAAATATTTCATATAGTCCAAAGTGGACTATGGCAAAGAAAAGCACAAAAGCTTCAAAACTGTACTGATAAAACAAATGAGAACATATTCTAAATCAAGGCAAATATTATTTGAACCAGCTCATGGTTTGAAATGGCAAACATTGAAAAGCAAAAGTATTATTAAAACCATGTACTACATCATCACCTTGGTCCCATCTCTGGGAAGAGAATATTTACTGTGCTTAAAAACTGGTATCACATCATCATGTGAGGTTGACTTTGTGACCTGGAGAACATTTCAGTTGCAACATTAGCTCGTTGATAAGCTTGGGATATGAGATATTTTTGTAGCCATTCGTGGTGAAGGCATCTGTGCTATTGTATGCATTATGTTTGACCCAACATTTCTACAGGCATGGCAGAATATGGCACTATTTTCACATGAATATTCCATTGTCTATTTCTATACCACGAGCTGCAAAATGACCGCCTATCCCCACTGTGTACAGGCGGGTACTTGTTAAGACATACCTGGGCAGGCTCTGTTTTGCCGTGGTATCCTGGCACCTGCGGGCCGCAGAGGGGCGGCGTATAGTTTCGGGCGACAAAGACTGCTGCTCCAGGGTTGAGGGCGGCGAGTCAGGCGGGAGTAAGCTAGTGTCCACAAGGGAGGATAACGTGATGTCCCTATCTGACCTGTTGCTACTGTCTGCAGTAGATGCAGTGTTGCTGGCGTTTAGTGATGGTTGCTTTAACCATTTTCGTATTTGATAATAATATATTACTGTAACTCCGTTACTTTTGTAACGCGTTACACCCAACACTGATCAAGACACAATACATGAACAACAAACAACAAACATTTAACATAACAGCACAATCACTGAGTTCCAACACATAATACAAGATGGAGTTGTATATCACAGCACACTGGGCTGATGTTTTCCGTTGGCAGGGATTGGTTGTCCGCTCTCTGACCCTGCCTCTTGACCTGTCCTCTCCTGCAGGCTCCCTGGTGGTTTGTACAGGCCTGTCCTGCTTATGAGCTGTTCACAAAAGCCCTGAGGATGTCAGCTGCAGTGTCACTGGGAAACTTCACAGCTTTGCAAGAAGGAACTCTCATTTGTTTTACTCCGGTGGGAAGAGCTGGGTTATTGGTGCCTGCATGGTGGCTATTTAGATTATCTGTCAGATGCTGCTTTGTCTTATATTTGCATGATGGATGAGAGGTTGTTTCGGGCAGTTTTCCGGGAGGGCATTATATGACTATGGTAAACATAAACATGTATCCATTGTTAATGTCAATAGGTGTGTCATGTAACATACGTGGGTAGCTTTTAGGTGACGCTCTTTTGTGGAGACTTTGAACGCAACAGTAAATATGTGACTTGTGGGTGGAGCTGTAGGTTCAGACCTGCTGTACAAGCTCTGACTCAGTGATCGGGGAGTTGTTGCAAAGGATGCCACCAGTCAGAGGAAAACCATCACAAGTAAGAAATGCGTAGAAATACAGCAAGATTTGTCAGATATTTTCGTTCTTATTTTAATTGTATCTTGTGGTGGAACATTACGGGACATAATTCACTGTGTTATAGAAAGTGTGTTGCGCCACGGAACTGTTAAGTAGCGCACCTGTGGTTTGTTATCATTCTAGCTTGAGTATGTAACTAAGTTATTCCTACCTTTCTGTGGATACTAATGGTAAATAAAGTGTGGAGTTCCATACTCAACACGCCGCCTCCGACTCCCATTCATCGGCTCAAAAAACTAAATAATATGCCTTGTGTTTCTTTCAGAACCTTTCAGATGTTTTATTTATCGAGTGGACAAACAACAGCTTCGTAACCATGCATGCAATAGCATGTGATTATGTTGACTTTTCTCTGAGGATTTCATTTTTCAAATATAATTCGCTCTACCCGGAGGACGACCGTTTGACTGGAAAGAGAGACTGAAAACCCTAAGGTGAAATGCTCTTTTAAAGATAACTATAAAGTTGTCTTTATGGCGTTTCAAGATGACAGAGCCTAACTTGAGGAACGAAAGCAACTATGGGATCTATTTTGCTGAAACCTTCAATGGATCTCTTGTGGACCAAAACGACAGCATCACGCCATGTGCGAACTTCACAATGGACTCAAAGGTAGTCGGGGTTGGCGTCTTTCTCGCCGTCTTTATTTCGGTGGCAATTGTTGGCAACATTTTGGTTATCCTGTCTGTTGTCTGCAATAAACATTTGCAGACTGTCACAAACTTCTTCATTGTCAACTTAGCCATCGCGGACCTGCTTCTGAGCATTATTGTGCTGCCTTTCTCTGCATCTCTGGAGGTTCTGGGATGCTGGGTGTTTGGCCGTGTTTTCTGTAACATCTGGGCAGCGGTGGATGTGCTCTGCTGCACCGCATCCATCCTCAGCCTCTGTGTAATCTCCATCGACCGGTACATAGGTGTTAAACACTGCCTGAAATACCCAACTATAATGACAGAGAGGAAGGCAGTGGCTATTTTAGTGTTAGTTTGGGTATCATCCACTGTTATCTCCGTTGGACCGCTCCTCGGATGGAAGGAACCGCCGCCTGTGGACGAGAGAATCTGCAAAATCACAGAGGAGCCGGGCTACGCGCTCTTCTCCTCTCTCTTCTCCTTCTATCTCCCGCTTATGGTCATTCTCATCATGTATTTTCGGGTCTACGTGGTGGCCCGCAGGACTACTAAGAGTCTAGAAGCGGGCGTCAAACGAGAGAGAAATAAGTCGATCGAAGTGGTCCTCCGGATACACTGTCGCAGCGTGCTGGAGGACGCGCGCCCAAGCAGCTCAAAAAACCACCCGTTCCGGAGTTCGCTCTCAGTGCGACTGATGAAATTCTCCAGGGAGAAGAAGGCTGCTAAAACCCTCGCTATAGTGGTGGGGATGTTCATCCTATGTTGGATGCCCTTTTTCTTCTTCCTGTCGATGGGTATGTTTATAACTTTATAATATATTTCTATTTCCAGTGGTCCACGATAAAATCTGGCCCATGTGCGTCTTTTTCACCTATAGATGTTATAACTTTATGCTCAATGTAAAATGTAGGCTACTATTCTTAAGAACAGCAAAGCCCTCGTGATATGCACTTGAATTTATGAACCCACCTGCTGATATTGTGGGAAATTGTCTGCAGTTATATTTTGTTCTAGCTAATGTAAGAAATCATTGCATTTGCGTAATTTTAAGTGATTTAACTTGTTCAGCCTGCTATGGCTGCCGGTGTTTTATCAATGAACTAAAGAAAACGTAAATCAACTACGTCTAGGAACATAAACAATAATATTTTAACACAAAAGCAACTATAAATCTAATTTAATTTAATTGCTGTTTATTTTAATAAATAGGCCAGGAATTGATCCACAAGATTACAATTGTTATGAAAACACATATTTTGGTCAGAAAAGGTCAAATCTGTAACATGATCACGATGTGGATTGTTTTCCTGTCTGAAAGCCTGTTTTCATTCAGATGGCCTATATCAAATGCTTGAAAGAGCAGTCATAATAGACTGACATTCTTCAGTAATGAGCACTCTAAAACTGAATTCTGTCAGAATTGCAGCCATCACAGCTATTTTAGTAATACTCTCACATAGTAACACAACGAAAGAAAGCAACTTGTTTCAGTGTCTATATTTGTAGCAGAGCTTGGACTGCTCAATGTTAACAACAAATTAGACCTGCAAGACTTGAAAATGTGGGATTAAACTGAAGACTACATTTGCATGTTTGATGTTAAGAGCTTTTAAACTGACCACAGTATTGACAGGATGAGATATGGAAACAAGCATGAGACATACTCACTGAAGGGTTCAAATGCTTTGCAGGGAATGACCAATGCAAGTCACATAACTCGAGTATGCATCACAGTGGCAGTTACAGAAAATAATAGTATTGACAACATCCACACTTTCGGCTGCCCCTAGAATTTTAATTTGGAATATATTTCACATAATTGATTGTAAAAGCTGAGCAAATGGCCACTATCTTATCAATAGCACTTACAGCACTCTCTTTCTTGCTCCACCTCCAGATTTATTGAAATTAAATATTAAAGCAAAGCCTGCAGGGAGAGAGAAGGTGCCATAAATAAAGTAGGAACTATTAATCACTTTATTAAGTTAATAGGAGAGAAAGGCCAAGTTTATTTGTATCCATATGGATACTTCAACTCATCATATGATTGAAAATGTGTCAAGAGAGAAGTTAGTTTTAATGAAAGTGTATTGTGTTGTACGAATACATCACTCACTACAATGGGACATTAAACACATTATATCGCCATTACACATTTTTACAGTAAGATTAGGCAAAATACATATTGAGACCATTCTGAAACATGTTGATTTGGATTATGTTTGTATTGTAGCTAATGTATGAACAGAGAATCAGTGTCCTTAAGAAAGAACGTTCATAATACAATTACATTAAATTTGCTTTTTTGATCATAATAAACAGCCTGGATTTAGAATTCGTCCCCCAGGATCTCACATCTGAAAGAGTCCATGATTGAGTGTGGCACTCCTTGGAATCAGTATTCAAAAGAGAAAACAAAAGGGTGAAAATAAATGATTATCATTAGAGGAATATTAATGGTCAGACCACCAAGTACCCCTAAATTGTCCAAACATAATCATAGCTGTATCATAATGGATATAAAAGCCTAATAAATGTAAGAATTCTTGGTAATTTAAAGTCTTTGCTTGAAACCATCTGTCCTACACACAATCCTCTCTGACAAGATGTTGTGCAATTGTCACAAACTTGGATACACAAGGTACAAGACTCAAATGCACGACCTGGGAGACAAAGGTAAAGTATGCGAAAAGTACTTTATTCCAAAAATAGGATGTACAAATAAGGATCGACACTCTTGACGAGGTTTTCAAAAAATACAAAAGTGAGGAACAAAACGTACAAAAGACTTCTGGAGCATAAATTAGGCTTGAGACAAAATAACTAGTCGCTGGTACGCTGACTACTGGCATGGAGACAGGACAAGACGAACTGACACAAGACAAGGGGAGATATAAGCAAGAGGTAACTAGGCCCCGGTGGAAACAATCAGGGGTGGGGCTGACGCTGATGAGAGCAAACACATGAAACATGACTAGACTCAACATTTTTGACGGGACACAACACTNTTTCTCCTGGGTACAGACCGTCAGGAGTGACCCGGTCTGGCCGAGCTTCCCGGCCACCCGGAAGTGCCAGGAGGGAGCCTGTTCGGGGTGAAGCAGGCCAGCAAGGTCGCCGCACGGCGTCCCTTGCTCTCCTCCCCAGGGACCAGGTTGTCGTCCGCCAGACTGACCGGATGCATCGGTGTGCCTTCCAGGCGTCTGCAGCACGACATCACTCTGCTGTCTCACTCCATAGTGAGACTATCAGAACAGCCCTCCATACCCTCCGAGGCTTCAGAGGAGATAGAGGAAAGTGCTGCTGGATGCTCCAATCAGCCCCCAGCAGCAGCGCCCCCAGCAGCAGCGCCCCCAGCAGCAGCGCCCGCAGCCATGGCGTCAGGGCTCGCTGCAGAAGCCTGCTGTTTTTAAACTATCGGTCAATAAACTGCAGAGCTCGCTGCATTCCTCTGTCCCAGATATACCTCCTACACACGGTCATAATGAGCCCACGAGTGCCGTTATAACGTCTCGTGTGGACAGCACTGCACACACCTCCACTCATCCCCTGAACGTGTACGCACCGCATGATGAGAGCCGGAGTGAAACGCAGCGTGTGGAGGCTCCCTCACAGCCCTTTCGGTCCAGGCCCACCTTGGGTTGCCTCATGGGCAGCGGCGGCGAGGGCTCTGGCGTGGCTCGTCACATGACGACCACAGCACATCACGAGCATGTATGTCCGCTCTCAGTATTTCTGAGTATTTTCTGAGTGGCAGCGCATGTGTCTGATGGACAGATGGATGAGCAGGCGTAGCGCTCTAAGTACTGGGCCCCACTGGCTCCACGAATAGCTGAAGAAAAGCTGTTTGTGTGGGAGCAGATTGTCGGGCCTCCTTCCTATTTATACCGGAAGTGAGCCTGAGGGTGGGGCCCACCTCACCGGTGGGCGTGGACTACAAGTGTTTCAGTGCTGCGCGGGTGCGCAGGGGATTACCCAATAGCGATAGCCTTAGAGGGCGAAGCCTATACTCATAGAAGCTGTAGTTACAGTAGGTAACTTCAGTTTTTCCTTCCTGTCTCTTTTTTCCCTCCTTTTTGATGACCTGATTTTGTTCACCTGGTGCCTTTGTTTTGTGCCTTCCCTCAACAGCTGTGTATGATCTTTATGATTAGTCTTGTGTGTTCATTGTCGGTTTGTCACCTCCTACCTGTTTCCCCGAGGTCAAGCCTGTATTACCGTTCATTTTTCACATGCCCTTAGCAGGTCTCTACTAGTTTAGTTTTTCTTTATTTTTTGTTTGGTTCTGCCATGCTTGTTCTGGTCCCGTTTTTGTATCATCTTCATTTGATTAAAAGTTAGCTTTTTGTTTATACTTTATACTTGCCTCCTGTTCATTCTGCGTTTGGGTCTGGATTTGTCTTACTTATAATTCTGCTATTCTTTAGGATTTTGACTTACAAACCAAAGTTAACCTGTTAATATGTAGTGTATGGTGACCTTACCGGGCTGTGTCACAGATGTTAATGTAAGGATGGTACTTATTGGTTTTTTAATGCCTCTGTGCCATAACTAAAAATAAGAATACTATGATTTGCAGGTCTTCAGACAACTGCAAGACCCGGAGATACATGTGAAGGTGAGTGTGAAAAAAATAATTGAAAGGCAAAATTCACATTTATTGTAAGTCATATTTACGCTGAAAACCTGTAATCTTACTGGCAGGGCTCTTAGTTTCACTATAACCACAGTCAGTCTTCCATCTAGGTTTATTTGCAAGTAAAAGAGGAGCAGTTATGGGTGAGCTTGTTGAACAGGCTACAGTTTTAGGCTGGCAAAAATGATATTACATGAATGAACATGACTGCTTACTTCATTAAAATCAAAGGCTAGACACTACTTATTCTCAATAAAATATACATAGAGTCAGTCCACCAAGATGGCTGGTGGTTATTTTATACAGGAGTAAATCAAAAAAACAATTAGAAAGAGTACTGGAGCCCTGTGAATTGCACCTCAATAGATGTTTCAAGCAATTTGTACTTCTGGTCAAAACCCCAGTGACTCATTTAAAATATGATATTTTGATAGCAGTTGGCCAGATGCTGATATTGGTTGAGATGTAACATGCTTGAACAATGAGCAGTGCTGCAGCCTTTTTCTGATTTGTGTGATTTGGTGTTTAAATCGACTCTTGCAGTTTGAAAACAACTGCTGCGCTTATAAACTAACAAATAACTTGAACATGTTAACATTGATACTTGGCCACTTTGATTTGCCAGATTAAGCTCAGTTTAATCAGATTGACTCTGATTCTATTAATTCCATATTTAACTTAATTATATGTATGACATTGACAACTTTTGCTATTTAATTGTAGATTGGGTAGGTATGAGGGGCAGAAGAAAATAATGAATGCATTGAAGCCAAGCTAGTATACTATTGTGGTTGTTATACACAGTGGTCTAATCATAAAGCAGGATTCATTTTGTGAACATGCCGCAAAAATAGAGTCCTTATGTGAAAATAGGAATAGGAATTAGGTTATTATTTGAAAGTATAAAAGTAAATGTTCATCTGTATTCTCTTTAGCAGCTCCAAGCCATTGTTACAGTCCATTATTGTTTTAGCACCGGTGCTGTCTGTACAAAATAAGCAATCAAGCGAGTCTCTCAGGAGGGCACTCTTTCTTTGTTAAAATGTACCTTTATAACAGCACATTGCAGTAAGAACCAGTGAATTTTATCACTCCATTTAAAAAATAACTTTGAGTTATGATGTTAAAGTCTGTTTTCTTTACAGAAGAATGAGTGAGAATATATGTAATAATGTTTTGGAGGGCATGTGTTAAAGACCAAAACATAGAGCTGTGGAACCATGACAACAAGCTATTATGGATTTATTTGTATTTGTTGTTGATCATTGGGTTTGTGTGTATACCATACCTTTTTATTCCTTCCAATAATGGCCGGAGTTTGATAGTTCATCCCATATACTTCAATATGTGGCCTTTATATTTTTTACTGTCAGAGGTATAGTATGTTTTAATCCTTTATGGGTTGTCTTTTGAAATTAATTGTATTCTGTTTTTTTTTCATCTCTTTATTTTAATTGTCATGTTTTTGGTCAGGATTACAAATGAAAACTGCTTGTTTGACTTTCCCCTGTGTGAAAAACATTAAGTATTAATGTCATTGTGGAATGAAGCTAGTAATAGATGGTGAATTAAGGTTAAATAGTGTTGATGGAGTCTCTAGCTTTTTTCAATTTGTTTCTGTATGTTGCTTGCAGCTACAGCCTCATGTTAGTCTGTTACTCCCTTTGAATTATTCAATTTGCATTTTTTTTCAGACATCAGATGCTCATTTACCTGTTTGTCTTTGTTAACACATGCAGATATTGATTTCTGTTAATCCACTTGATTTGTTTATTGTCTAATACTGCACAATTTTTACCTGCCAAAAACGTAAGACCTTAAGGGGAAAGGAATTACGAGGTAAAACATTCAACGCAATGGTGACCTCTGCTGGATGGGGTTATTATTATTATTTTTACCAAGAATCAAGGATTCCTTACAGTAATTTAACAGACAGACAAAGTCTGTGTCCTCTCTTTTTTTATTTACAAACATTAGATAAAGAAAATACAAAAAAAGCATGTTCATTTCACATTCACTTTTTGATGCATATGACAGAAGGGACAAGGAGATACATGGGTTTATATTCACACAAGTGTACATATTAATGCCAAGTCAGCTTATAAATCAACCACTTGGAATAAATACTGCGCAGCATTTTTATTGTTTGATGGACTTTTATCATTCACAATGCCTTGTCAAAAAGAAAAATCGCAGATCAAATATCATAATACATCTAGTTGATTAAATCCAGAAATCCTGACAACATAATAATTGCACTGCTCTTATTTCATTCCGTTTCATTTAAAAATATCTTATTTTATCCTTTACAATTGTGTTTTTTTTAATTTATTTATAATCAGCTGAATATCAAACAAAGGCAGTCATCAAATAGTGTCAAATCAAATGTTTTATAGTTCAAGACATGGAGACTGATATAAACATTTGAACGTTGAAGGAATAAGCAGTAATAATGAGGCTAATGTTAAATATCTTGTCAAAAGTGGGTTAACCTGTGGGCTGTACAATGTCGATGAACAGAGTTTCCAAGTGACAGCAGTCAAAGTTAGTCCAAAACGTTAGCTACTCCTTGTCTCTTATAAAAGTGGCTTTTAGGAGTTTACAACAATCGTTTCATCTGATTTAACAATAAGGATTAAGATAAAGTTTAAGTCCTATTTGTGCTGGGTTTAAGCCATCATTCTCAGTCCACAACTTTGATTCTCAAATGTTTTGTAAACACATAAAGTGAGGCCCATCACAGTCTTTCATACACGTGAATGGAATTTTAAGTTATTCAAATATTCTCTGGTGGCCGTCTAAATGTCAGTCTCTTTCAGGCCGTAGCAGTCTGCAAGATCATATAACTGATAACTGCTCTGCTCACAGGAGTTATAAATCCCCATAGAGACGGTGTCCACTATGTCAATCCGACCCACTGCGGGTGAGCTTCCTTTTCCCGGCCCTCCCTTGATTTTATTTGACAGGTTGTTCACTTTCTCTTTGAGCTGGAAGGAGGATTTTTGCAGTGGTGGAAACAGACTCCATCTTTTGAAAGCTGGAGAGCGCCCTTTCCCCTTGTGTAAAAAAGAGCTGCCACAGGATTCGTTCACAGGGAAGCCAATCTTACGCTCTCCCCTCTGATCTCTTGTCATTCCCTTTACAGCCGTCCGCCACTTCTGGTCATAGAAGCGACGCAGGACCCTCTTTCTTTGGTGACACTGGCACCTGAGGATCCGAGTGAACGCCCGCTGGAACTCTTTGCTGGAGCAAGGGTAGATCATGGGGTTGATGCAGCTGTTGAAGTAGCCCAGCCAGAAGATCACCTTGAAAAGCGTTTCCGATGGTTTCAGTGCTGAGAAAAAGGCACCTATACAAGAAGAAACCATAAGAAATATTTGTGAGTAAATGCAAACTGCAAGTACTGTCTACTGCTGCATTTTCACAAAGTATCTTAAACTATACACCAAGAACAGTTACAGAAAAATGTAAATAGATCATCATCAATCATGATTGATGATTTTTTCAATTTGGACTTATAAGTTTACATTATTTAAAAATAAACATATAATACATTTTTAAATGGGGTAAGGTTTGTAAGAAACAATATAAAAAAGCATTGTAAAATCAAACAATGTGTATTTACAGCTGTATTATTCTTATGCTACATTTATACATTTGTCATCCTTCTGACACTTGGGTGTTCACAGCACTTTTTTAGGATGATTTATTGTGCAGCAATAACGAGAGTTGACATTGTGTAGACTTTGATTAATGGGGAAAGACATTAACAGTGCATGCTTCCACCACAAGCCCTAATGCAAAAAACTAGTTATGAAGCTCATGTGATAATAAGATGGATTTTTAAAGTGCTAAGTACATTATATTTTTGAATGATTGTAATGTATGTACATTTGACCATCATTAACTTGACAGCTGACAACATGAATGGAATTTATATAATTTCCTTAGGTGTATGCTTTTTTCTGAGGGCATGAGGTAGAATATACACCTTGTCTTGATAGGTGTTAAAAACGAGACAGCACAAATGCAGAGTAGTAGTACCTGATTTAATATGTAATGCATGTATGCTGCCCTGACTTGTGCAGAGGTTTATTCAAACCATGTGTGTGTCATTAGTGCCAGAATGATGGAGAATCCAGCCTTAGACAACTTCAAATATTCCTGATCAGCTTTCTCTGAGATGATGGAGCATTCAAATTGAAGAGCTTAGTCTTTTTCAGGGACTAGTTGATTAAAGACAATATGATAACTTTTGGCTGTTAACAAGATTTCATATATCTTTACAATAAAGAATATTACAATAATTATAAAATAATAGTGTGGGGTTAAAAGGTCATGTTTTTCTGCCCTAGTTGTTTGGTTCAATTAATAATACTCGCTATGGCAATTTATGTATGATATTAACGCTGCCTTTTCCTATTGCTTTATAGACTCCCATGGCTTGGATTTAACACAGTTGTTGAACCTGGACACTGATGCAACACGTCTCATTGGTCTGCACTGCCTGTGCCAAGTAGTCCATTTTCATTTCAGTTCTGTTGGTAGGATAATGTGGAAATAAACGAAAATGGCTTGTATGTGATTTTCCAAGTAATGGTTTCATTCTGCTTTGACATCAGCTACGCACAGCATACTGTGTACTTGATTGTGCCATTAACTCAGACACAAAAACGGTATAATAACTCGAGTCCTCACTTTTACTAGTAACATTATCTGCAGCATGAACAGTATTATGTGTGTAGCATCGGCTACCTGCCACTTCTATTCCTGTGAGACCTCATCTGTAAACAAGGCTCAACCCGGTAAAACAATAAGATGAATACAGTGGTTAAATAAAGTGACGCTCTCCATTGATTCTTCCCACTGAAATTCACTCACCTTAACCCTCCTGTTAACCTCAGATTTACTTTACACCCTTTTTCCTCTGGGGTCAATTTGATCCCAGTAGTTTAAAACTCAAGACAATGATCATATTCCAAATTTTAACCAAAATGTATGTGTATGTGTTTTAGGTATCTTAGTTGACTACCTAAATAACCATTTAAATAAAACATTACCCCAACCTTCCCCCCTACAGACCCCTTTATACATCCTGAATTCCTATTATGTGACTATCAAAAAATATATAAATCACCATAAAATCTCACTGACTGAAATAAAATGTTAAAGTAAGATCTTTTTGATGTTGTTAAAGGACCAATAACTAAAGCAGAGGGTAGGTTTTTTTTACAATGACACATTTGCATGTAATAGTCACCTCGATATCATCCCACACAATCAACACAAATATGTCTAAGATGTTGACATTTCTATATGTTTTATACAACTAAAAGAGCCTGGGGTTAAATTGACCCCAAGGAAGACCGATGCGTACAAAGTGCGTAGAGGACATATAAAAAAGATCTTCATGTTCATTTTATGTTTACCCATTAGTCCGCACTAAATCAGGAAAAGTCATGAAATACTAAGCAAAAAAAAAAATGTGAACAATTTTTTTAGATACGTAAAACATTGAATGTGGTCAAATTGACCCCATGGATAACAGGAGGGTTAAGGCAGTCAGCCATTGATTTACCACTCTGGAATACAACTCCGACACCACAACTACTTTTATATCCGATGTTTGCAAGATGATTTATAATTTTGATATTTTTGTGGATGGGATTTTTGTTAAAGTTAATTCTTATACATGTTACATCATGAAATGCTTTGAATACATTATCTGATAAAGGAGTGTGGGGACCTTTCCAATTAAAAAAATAAAGTCTTTGTGTGACTAGAGGAATTCCTGATATGTCCGTTCCGAGTTACAGAACCTACAGTTACCAGAAACTGAAAATATTACAGTAGGTGGAATATTGTTAAAGTAAAAAGCATGCAATTTATTTTAGATCTTAAGTGTTATGGCTTGAAGACAACATAAGTCTTAAGATAATGGTTTCAATTGATCTTAGTAATCCTGTAGTGACTTTAGAATTGTCCCCAATATCAATACATATGTTTTGTATTGAAACAAATTCTCTATACATACATTTATTGCAAACAGTCATTTTCATCCAACCTAGTGCATTACTATTACACAGTAAGTGTAGGATGCACAATACCTTTTTCAAAACAAAGTCAACTATAAATCTTAATAATTGGAGGCTTGAAAAAAGTATGACAGTGTGTCTTTTATACTGATTGAGCTTATTTCAGCTACACATAAAGGAAAATCAGCCCATTCAACACTTTTGAATGATGCATACAAACAAATTAACTCTAATCATTGAGTGAGAATTGATTCTCAAAGGCTATTTCTCTTTTTACCATCAGTTTCTGGTATTCATGGGTCTGGTGCACTAATAAAACAAATCTTGTTAGGGCACTCTCTGCAGCTTCAGATGAGTCAGACAATCAGTCTAGGTTTGCATCATCGCAGAGAAAATGCCTGATTGGCCCAAGAGGTGCTAAGAGTGCAGGTCTGCCTCCCAGCTAAAGGTTACTCATTAATGATGTGCCTCAGCAGCGTACCAGCATCAATCTGTCTGAATCACCAAGTAAGCTGGGCTAGAAATGATAGGCTGTGTCTATTCCACACTGTCAATCAGTCCTTTAGGAAACAAACAGCCTGCCCCCATAGCGATCAACCCATCCCTATGGGGACTTTGTGTTTTAAACTTCTTCTGAATTCTGAGTCATATTGCTTTTGTGTCCCGTCAAAAATGTTGAGTCGTGATGTTTCATGTTTTTGTTTAGTCATTTTTTGTCTTGTCTCCCACTCACCTGTTTCATTCCAAGTTCCTCGACTCCCTATCCCTGTGTGTCTCCCGCTCTCATCAGCACCAGCCCCGCCCCTGATTGTTTCCACCTGTGCCTAGTTACCTCTTGTTTATATTCCCCAGTGTCCCCTTGTCCTGTGTCAGTTCGTCTTGTCCTATCTCCATGCCAGTAGTCAGCGTACCAGCGTACCAGCGACTAGTTATTTTGTCTCAAGCCTAATTTATGCTCTCGAAATATTTTATACGTTTTGTTCCTCACTTTGTGAGCGATTTTCTTTTTTGCCTTTTTTTAAACCTTTTTCACCTCGTCAAGATTGTCGATCCTTATTTGTACATCCTATTTTTGGAATAAAGTACTTTTTGCATACTTTACTGCATTTGAGCCTTGTACCTTGTGTTTCCAAGTTTGTGACAATTTTAAAGCCACTATTTCATCGTACACACAGAAACTTATGACTGTTAACCCAATTTTGACATGCAGTGAAATATTGAGGAACATTAAGTCCTTTTTTCCCCCTCTCTCTGTAAATAGCTATTCATATTGAAAACCACACCTATTCCTAACCAGCACTTTTGTAACTGAGCATCATTAGACCTTAATAGTATGTTTGTATTAGTCTATTGAAACCTTCACCACACGTTATACTTAATTGATATACTGTACTCCACATAATGGCAAAAAGCGTTTTTCTATTTATTTATAATAATGATAATCCACTTTATTTATATAGCACCTCTTCAGAACTGCTTTTAATCTGTAATATTTGTTTTAAGTGTGCTGTTTAATTATTTTTTATTTATTTTGTTACTGCAACAGTGTGTCTTTGAGTTTCTAGATAAGCGCTCTTTAAATAGAATGCATTATTATTATTATTATTATCATTATTATAGAACCTTTAATGCAAGATGCAGCCTAAGGTGCTTTACAGATACGAAATAAAGAAGTAGGAACATAATTAAAAACAAGTTATAAACAAACAGACAGAGTTATATCACAGAACCATAAAACAATAACACATAAACAGTGATACCTCTAAAATGACTCCAAATTAAAAGATAGGTCTTCAATTTACTTTTAAAAACTCCAATGGAGTTTGCTTTTCTAAGATCCAACGGGAAAAACATGAAGCAGCCTCCCCAGATTTCTTGTGTATTACTTTAAGTACTTCTAAAAGAAATGCATCTGAGGATCTGAGTGTCCTTGTTGGGTTATCAAAAGAAAGGCAGTCCCAGATGTGTGTAGGGGCCGGGTTATGTAAAGCCTTATAAATTATTAAAAGCATTTTAAAATCAACTCGGAAAGACACCGGTAACCAGTGCAGTGATGCCAGCACAGGGAACATGTGATGCCTTTTTTCTGTGTTTGTTCAAATCCTGGCCGCAGCATTCTGAATTAATTGCAATTTCTTTAAAGATTTTTTGGAGACCACGAGAATTGCAGTAGTCCAAGCGACTAGTAATAAAAGCATGTAAAACAATTTCAGCTGAGTTAGATTTCTGATACTGTTTGCCATTTGTTTACATTAGTTCATTCTATTGAAGTGCGTTCTATGAGTGTTAAAAGTTGCTTATAATCTGACATTGAAACTATGGTGACGTCACATGCTCAACCTCTCCAAGTGCAGGATCTCATTATTATGATTATTTAAACATTCAAAATGAATGTATACTGAGGAAATGAACCTTGATAGACCAATCTGTGACACCACAAAGCCTCAATATTACAATGAATGTTTCCTGAAGTAAAACCTTTTCCGATAAGAGATTCAAACCTCATGTGTTCGGATAAAGAAAAGAGAAAACAACATTTGAGACATTTGCTTTATTTAGCTTTTCCATTAAAGAGTGAATACTGACAGAGCAGCTGAGACACAGCCTCCCCTCCTAAATACATTCAAAGTGTGCTGAAGCAAAGCTTTATGAAATTGCATATTAAGCTTTTTCATTGATGATACTCTTGATCCAGACAAGGTATTTGGAGATCTCTGTGTAGACGTTGGGTTTATCTGGGTAGTCACAGATTCTGTTGTAGTTGTAAGACACAACACCAACAGCTATCCCGTCGCACACCAGAGGACCACCAGAATCCCCCTGTGAACAAGGAATATTATTAATTATTGATTATTTTATTTAAGAATTTTAAAGCATTTTTATAACAGCTTACATTTTACATCAACAAAGATAAATCATACCTGACAGAAGCCTTTGTCACTGCCATAACCACCGGCACAGATAACATCAGGAGGAATACCACCCCATGACTTAGAGCATGTGTTCAGGTTTATGACAGACACATCCACCTCCATCAGCCTATCAACAACTCCACCACCAGTCTCTGTTTCACCCCATCCAGCAACATGGCAGATTTTGTTTTCTTGAATGTGCATATTAGAAGAAGGAATGGCAATGATTTGTTTTTTGTTCCCGGCAACTTTCTTCTTCAGCTGGAGAGGAACAAAGTAAATCTCACAAAACTAGCAATGTGTGTAATATAAGATAATACTTTTTTATTCTTCAGACTTCAATGTGACAAAACATGGCTTAATATGAAGCTGAAAGTTAAATTATTAATTTGATGCAAAAAAAAAGTGTACTTACTTTGAGGAGCATGATGTCATTACCTCCGCTTACTTGGTTATAGGATTCGTGTTTGTATCTCTTTTCAATGTATCTTACATTTTCATCACCAACTTTGAGGAGATTGTGAGTGCCAACAACGACCCTGTCCGGTTCGCTAAATGAAAGATAATATTCAATATTGAAGATAATATTTAAAAATAAAAGGTGGTTAATATATCTTGAAGACTTTTCAAATAATTGAATGATTCAAAGATAGCGGATAAAGGAAGTTATACTCACTCGGGGCTACAGTGCGCAGCAGTGACCACAAAGTCTTCGCTGATCAGGAATCCTCCGCACAGATGTTTCTCGTTTTTTTGCAGGGAGACCAAAAACTCGTACTTATCATCTGGGGCTATTGTTCCTTTTATGATTTTACTCCCATCTGCTGAAATAAGTAAAAGGTCATAGGTTAATTTCAGTTAATGATTGGAGCATAATAAACAGAGTTCGGAGTATTACCATTTTGTCCGAGAGATGTCAGGACCTGAAAAAGCAGGAGTTTGTGCAGAGCATGCATGATGCCTGCAAGACAAATGACTTGCCTTTGATCTTCGGGGCATTAAGTCGATCCTTTTATGCAGCACTTTGTCTCATTAAAGGTCCCATGTTTTGGCCATTTCTACTGATCATAATTCCATTGTTGAGGTCTACTAAAATAGATTTACATTGTTCAATGTTCCAAAATCACATTGGTTTCTCATACAGCATCACTTTATAGTATGTGTATTCACTCTCTGTCCTAAACGGCTTGTGGGAGCTCCTGCCCCCCCCTCCCTATGAGCCCCACCTGTGCTCTGATTGGTCAGCTCTCCACCTCTGCTTCTGATGTAGTCCACCACCGTTACAGCCGGAACATCAGTGTTTATTTTTTACAATGCGCCCGTTTGGTTAGCAACCAGGAAGCGAACACCAGCCTTATAATCAAACAGGATGAGGATTGCTGCGGGGCTCGGGCTGCCCTCGCCCTGTGAGGCTCGGAGGGGAGCGGCAGTGTGAGGTGGGATAACTGTGGCCGGCTTCCTTGTTGCTGGCCCCGTGGGGGTCTGGGCGTGCCATGCCAGGCGGTTCACCCTGGAGCTAGCCTGGAAGCACAGCGGTGATCCGCTGGCATGGCACTTTGGTCTATATCCAGCATCAGGGAAACACAGCGGGCAAAAATTACACCTCACTACCTGGTCCGCTGTCGGCGAGGTTAGCCCTCGACCGGTGGGACTCTGTGAGCCGCTCGCGGGCAGTCCAACCCTGGCAGCAGAGTGCCTGCCCTGAGTGCTCCCGGGAATGCGAAACGGCGAAAAACTAAAAATCTACAACGAGCGGCGTTTTCTGGCCCGCGCCAGCATAGCAACAAGTCTTTTCTGTGTTTGACGCTTCACTCGGCCCTTTACAGCGCCGTGACTGTTTGACGCGACCCGTTATTGACTTTGCCCAGATATTTACGTGCCAGCAAAAAGCCTACATAACACACAAGGGCCCGGCAAATGGGACTAATGAATGTGCCCTCATGTCGTCAGAAGTTCTAAATGATCTGTGTTAATCAGACTGCTGCATAACAGCATCGAACTTAATGCAGCTTTGCGATCTGATTACCACATAAATATGTCCAATGCTGGGGTTTGCCCTGCCAGCTTGCCACACATTTTCATTAGTCCCCATTTTGCCGTTCGTTGTTTTTGTTGAAGCAGCGCCCCACTCAAAGTATTTATTGGGGTGGAATCTGCCAACAAACCAGGCCCCCCTGAAACCAGCAGAAACTGGTTTCCTGCTTCACTTCTGATCAAACATCAAAGTTGTGAAACGAATACTATTTAATCACTTTGATCATCATTTCACAGAAAAATGATCTAAATGTAAAATCTAAATTGGGGGTGAATGGTCGCTTCCTTCATATCAATCCCAAATCTGCAAAGTCTTGAGACTGCATGTGACACGGTTGCTTAAGGTGACACAATCTATCCACAGACACATGAGTACTAATAGGTATATGTTCATTTAGTAGAGTCCTTTTCATTTGGTTCTATACAAATAACTTTTATGATAAATATAATCTTAAATTGACCCTGTTCTATATTAAAAGCTAACATTTTGGGGACATGACCAAGTGATGCGACTGCATTCATCAAAATCTGCACATATCTTTCAAACTTAAATGATCTGCACAGCCAGAGTTAATGTTCAATGTTTCCAGACGGACATGAATTCATCTAATGTTACAGCAGGTTGGAAGGATAATTGAAAAAATAAACAAAATGAATATGCAGTGCAAATGTTAGGCCTTTACTTGAATATGAAGATTTCTAAAAAGGCCCAGTCACTTAATGACTTTAATAACTAAGGATTTCATGTCTTATAAGAAAGTAAATTCAAATAATTAAAAGATAAACATTTATGTAAATGTCCTCTTTCTAAAGAATAAAAAAAACGTAATTCAAGGCCGCATTACAAACTAGATATCTGGCAACTGCCCTCGGCATGTATACGTTTTTAATATTATGTTGTTTGGCACCTATAACTATCCTTATTTCTTAGTGATAACAAGCTATTGGGTGTTTCTCAATGTCGAGGAAGGCTGCTCCAGAGCCACTATTTCAAAACATTCAGCCAGCCGTTGTTTCTACACAGACCACTATTGCGGTAAGCATGTTGTAACTTCCGGTTGTTGTTGTCATCTCCGGGTATCCCGTGTGCCTGTTCTGTTGCTGATAGCGTATTATCTTAACTTAATCGATCGTTTTAAAACTCTTGATCACGGCAACTGCCTGACGTTGTAATCACACGTTACTACAGCTTAAGCACTCACAACTCTCCTTCTCTTAGCGACTGTAACTCCACAGTTGCCTACACTCTTTTCGGGTTTGCTAACGGTAGCTACTTTAGCTTGATAGCTAGCCTTGGCTCTTTCCCCACCCTCGGGTGCTATTTCCTGCTCTAACTGTCTCATGTTTGGTTACTTCCCTACCTCCTTTACTGGTACCGATACATGTGTTAAATGTAGTATAGTTGTTAGGTTGGAGGCGGGAATCATAGCCATAGAAGCCCGGCTCCGCATCTTAGAAAATAACTCAGCTACAGTAAAGCCCATGTTAGCCGGTGCGGACCGGCAAAAGGTAGCTCCTCTTAGCCGTCCCCCGGCAACTCCCGAGCAGGAGGGAGACTGGGTGACTGTTCTGAAGGGGAATAACGCGAAACCCGCAGGTCCCCACCAACCCGTTCACGTATCTAACAGATATTCCCCACTCAGCGAGACACCCGCTGAGAAGCCAACTCTGGTTATTGGTAGCTCTATTATGAGACACGTGAATTTAGAGACCGAAGCGTCCACAGTCACATGCATTCCGGGGGCCAGAGCGGGCGACGTTGAGGCGCATCTTAGACTGCTGGACTAAAAATAAACGTAAATACAGTAGGATTGTTATTCACGTCGGTGGTAATGATGTTCGTTTACGCCAATCAGAATGCACCAAACTTAATGTGGCGTCGGTGTGTAGTTATGCTAAAACAATGTCGGACACCGTAATCTTCTCTGGTCCCCTCCCCAATCACATTTAGGTGTCTTAATTGATGTGCCGGAGAGGCTGCGTGTGATAGTGTTGAAGATGTGAAGAGATTTCGCTGACATTAGGTGTACATCATAAATATTAGACATACGAGTAATATTAGTGATGAATGGTTTATGAACCAAATCTACGATCTGACTAGAAAAGGTCACCAAATTCAACCCGATTTGCTCGCGTATGTAAATTTCGAGTATAGAAGACAAAATCGACAACGTTAGTCGACATATGTGTTCAACAACACTGTGTAAATAGAGAAAAGGAGTAATGCATAATAATGGCTTACTGTGGAGCCAGACTCTGTATATCAACGAGAATCGATGAACTGAAACAGGAGGCAGGTACACACGTCTGGAAGTGTGCTGTCAGGAATGAACGGAGGGATTTGGGTAAACCCCATAGAAGAATAGACACTGGAACGCGCCCCTAAATGGTAGATACCTACTGACGGATTCCTCTCTCGCTATCGTCTCTGTTCGACCAACTCTAAAATTTTACCCATAATGGTACGGCTTGCCAAGACGAGCAAGGAATCCCAGGACGATTGACAAACCTCCGCCCTAAGTATCGGGTACTCTTCGGGGTGTGCAAACAGGTACCCCGAGGCGTATAATATACAGTGCTTGTTCTGTGGGAATTTTATCGAAGTCAGATGTGGCTTTATCACCTCCTTACGGGTACAGCGTAAGGGTAAGGGGTCTCTCTCTCCATTCTAACCCTGCATCCGGGCCGATTGTAGAGTCCATATAGAATAATAGAGGAGCGTAAGATTCTCCGAAGACAGAGGGGGGCTCGTTTGACCGCGGACAGGTTAATAACTCCATGTTTCTGTTCGCCCGCGTTTGCTACACACACACGACCACTTTGACCAGTGAGTCTTTTCTGTCTACCCGCTATGTGTGCGACTTTACACTTTGTGGGCCGTACAGGCCGATGATGTACGATTCGGTGGTAACTAGTCTA